ATTATTATTATTATTATTATTATTATTATTATTATTATTATTATTATTATTAAATATCAATACCTATCGATTATGTCAGAAAAGAAACATAGGACAGATATTGGTAAAGAAGAAAGAAAGGAACGATTCAAATCAGGAAAAAAACAGTGGAACGGACAATTATATTCTTTCCGATTGTAGAACTTCAATGTATCGTGTTTTGTTATATAGCATACATCAATGTTTGCTCGTGTACATTTTATTTAATAAACAGTCACTCTGATCCCCTCTGGTGACCTTAGCGTTAAAACGTTAGAATGTTTTGATGTGACGTCACAATGAAATACGGCAAATATTTTAATTATTTTAAAATTAAATGATATTGAATCATTCGAGAAAATTCTGGACTTTGACATAAATCACTGTATATCGTAGTTATAGCTTTCTAGTATTCGTAAAAATCTTGATCACCACCCCCCATACCTTCGACTCTTTGCGCGTTTTGCTATTCTTCGTTATCAAGTTACGTGACAGCGGCCATCTTGGACGATTTTAACAAAGGATTTCTCGTTAGTATCTTTTGTTCATTCCTCCAACATGGCCGCCGGTCTTTTATCTTTTGAATCCAAACGTTAGATATTGGGAGTAGCTCCTCTATAATATCTCTATGCCTTTTGATGGATTTTGGCTGAAATGTTGTCAATTAGGACTATACTTATTAGATAAACTTTTTCAGATAAGTTTGAATGAAATAATTAATACATCGCGATAAAGTATTTTTTGATTAATGAGCGATAATTTCAGACTAGAATTGATTTGCAAACTAATTTGGCATGTAGAAAGGAAATCAACATAAAACTACCCATGATGTACTCGACATTGATATATATAATCTTAGTGAGCAGAATTATTCCTTCAAATAGATACGTTTATCTCACCGAATCTGCACGCGGAGCCTTTGATAAAAGCTCAGGGTCTGTCTGTATAGCTGACTGTAAAAGTGGCCCATAATCCAATGGTTTGCTGCTTGCATACAAGACCAAGGTATCCATGATCGTTTCGGGTTCGTTTTTTGTGGGATCTGGCTCCGCCATTCTCCTTAGGCCACTTTGATTGATAAATGGACTCACAACGCCGGCTTCAAAAGTACCACCTCCAGCGAGCTCAACCGTGCAACACTAAAAACAACAACCCAGAACAGTTAGATGGGAGTTAGATGGCTAATACCAGAGCCTGGTAAACTCCGGGGCATACATAATCATACATCGAATATATTGCACTTTTAAGTGCCTAAAAAATTGGATTTTTACAATCACCGAATCCCTTATTGTTATCACTTACTTTTTTCTTCGGATAAAGGACTTCAATTTCCCCATCGCACTGAAACAAGATGACACATATGTGCACAATGTCTTCTCTATCCTCCTTGCCGTTTTTTACTTGCCATATAAGGGAGTCTCCTGTGCCTCGTTTTAGCTTATTAAAGACGTCGACTTCATGGGGCCGGAAAATTTGATCATTAACTGGAATAATTATTAATAAAACAGCATATTATGATCAGCATTCCAGCGAGCAATAAGAAACAAGGAGCCCATTACTAGGAGCGTATTGGGTTTCGATGGTCACAACTTTTTCATAGACGTGTCTATTTTTAGACTTTTTCGACCAATGAACAATCACTTTCGGTGTTACGCGCACGCGGAGATCCTCGCAAAACTAAAATAAAGCGTGCCAAATGATAGTAAAATCGAATTTTCTTCTAGTCTTCTGAAATAAGCGATAACAAAGAGGCCACTACTGAAGAGTGAACTAAAAAAACGTTTATAATATGGGCGTGGCACTCCATGCATCAAAGCGAGATAGGGGTTGATCCTGCAGTAATAGATACATTTTATTCATGATCTAAATATATTTTTACCACACTTGTGTATATTCTAGCGCGATTTGACATTAAAGTGTTTGTTAAATATTTACAGGTATCTATCACTTTAAGATGAACAAAGAAAGGCTTGCTGACAATGGATATTGGAATCAGGCATGCGCAGTAGTGATATCGTTATGGTAACTCTTACCTTCAGTAATGTCAATGCCTTCCTTCAGTTTTTCCTCGAGCACTTCATTCTTTTTATGTTGTACATATTGCAAATTTTCTGCTTTCACAACCTTAAGTGTTACGTCTTTGAGCAAGTCTTCATCGTCAGTCGGCGATTTTGCCCTGTTCAAGACCTCGTGGTATCTTATATATCGACATAGGTTTGCAGCCATAGTACTTTCATTGCCGACGCCAACACTGATCGGTGGTACGAATATCTTTCGCATTTGACGAGCAACCCAGCATGATTTGCTAGAAAATGAAAATAGAGAATAGCACATAGTCGTGCGGAGATACGGAATTTATCTTTCTGAAAAGAGCGTAGACATTTTCAACACAAGAAGATAAGATCCGTATCTCCAAGCGATCATGTAATATTCTGTTCATCGTATAATTATAAGAAAATTATGTTTTTAAATAACTGTTATTTACCTCAATATACTGAGATAAAGAGGATGTTACATGGGCGCGCGGAGATACGGATTTTATCTTCGAGTGAGAGATTTTCAACACGACAAGATAAAATTTGTATCTCCAAGTGACCATGTAATATTCTGTTTATCATATAATTACATAGTAAAGCAAATTATGCCGTAAAATACCTTTTTTCTTACTTCCACTATACAGAGAAACCTCGAATGTGTTAGATTTTCACTAGTAAAAATATCAACTTTACGAAATGGAGAAATATATAAAGGTAATTCATAGATAATTATATCATAAATATAGCTATTCCATAGATAAAAGTATGAGATTATGAGGATGAGAATAACCACCGTCAATTATCAAAATATTTCGCACCTTTCAATGGTCTCGCGTGTTATAGTAATCATGTCTGGGTTGGACTCTATTTGCTCATCATATTCCGTGAATATGTTCAACATGTGAGTATCATTTAGTTCTTTAATAAGAAGTGTTCTCGCATCGTCAGGACACACATACACGCAATGATTGATGGTCATTGGCACTTCAAGATATGCAAGACACCCAGGCTGAAAAAAAGTAATTCAATTGAATACTGATTGAAGGAAATCTATTTGAATAAGAATATTACAATGCGACACGCTTTACCGTGGACACGTAACTCTACTATGATTACTACTAGTTTATAGCACGCACATCAACGGCCAATAATAGACCTTTTCGCCGTTAAAACCACAGCGGGCAACATGTTTGCTGAGGCCCTCAAAGGAACAAGAGTGCCAGGTAATATCAAGATTATGATTTTTTCATCATCAAAAATTATTTCCAGACATTGCAGAAAGGATAAGCAAGCTCAAAGGTGCAAAACCACAGGCTCCCCACGCAACTTGCGAAAAAGTGGTCTCGAAATATTGTCTAGTAATGCAATCTCGAGACAAGAGGCAACCATTGCCAGCGATCTGCTGACGCCGCAATGACTCAGAAGGGATCCACTGAATTTGCAACGCATTTCCCTCGCAAATTAACTAACAAATTTTAATTTCAAAGTCAATTTAATTTGATTTAAATTAATTTAATGGTTAGCAAAACACCGTTCGCTGCGCAATGCTCCATTTCACACTTGTACGAATAATTTCTGCTTCATTCCTACTATGATGAATGGATCACATTTAATGGAAAAATTGCGGCTGCTCCCTAAGCAGCTTTGTCTCTAGAGAAGGGAACGTTATAATAGTGATGCATGAAGTACTTACCGTAATCTTGCGGGCATTATCATGAAGACTATATGAGCCAAACGCCTGARCAATATCAATATTTCCTTCGTTGACCTCAATGGTTCCCAAATAGTCTGGAGACTTATTTTTTAGATTAATGCTGTCCGCTGATGCAGTTGTCTCATAGACGAAGTACTGCCCTGCCCTTAGGTTTTGCAGAAACCCAGAATTAAGAACGGCTTTATCATTGTCAATATCACAAATTTCGATTCCTCCGTCGATCTGCTGGACTGAAAATGTATGAATGAAATGTTTAGATGGTTCAAAAAAACTTTAACATTCACGTGTATTGCTCGCGTAAAACTATAAAGAAATCAAATGAGCAAATATTACCCTATATATGTATATTTTGGAAATTAGGTAACACGACTCTATGCTAGTAAACTTGTGACCATCTCAATTCCACTTTCTACCTCAACATTGATTTTTTTTAGTATACAAGGTACCTTTTACAACTAGTCTTTGACTTAGGGAGGAAGACCAAAAAACTACTTCGGAGGAAGGAATGCAAATAGCCTACAACCTCAAATCATCTAAATCCCAGAGCGAGAATAGATGAGGTGACGGTTTTGTCCGCCATTTTGGACCGGTAGGCATAGTGTCGCAAAATAACAAGGAATGACTGGGAAATCGATGTCAAATAATTCTCGCTGAATTCAAATTCAGAAAGAATTATCAATTGCAAATGTTAGATACTACAAAAAGGAGCTGACTGGCCAAATTTGAAGGATGTGCTTCGTCTAGGGAGCGAGAAAATGTATTTTTAGTTCTCAATACATTTCTTTGTATTTTTCACGCGCGTCTCGCACTGATGACCCCGGAAATKATAACGAAATGTGTTGAAATTACAAAGAAATGTATGGAGAACTAAAAATGAGTTTACTCGCTCTCTAGATCAAGTACGCCTTTCAAATTTGGCCAGTTAACTCCTTTTTGCAGTATCTAACGTTTGCAAATGATAATTCTTTCTGAATTTGAATTCAGCGAGAATTATTTGACATCGATTTCCCGGTCATTCCTTGTTATTTTGCGACACTATGCCTACCGGTCCAAAATGGCGGACAAAACCGTCACCTCATCTATTGAACCAGGAACACATTCTCTTTATACTCTCTTTGCTCTCATTCCCTCTCTCATTTCTCTTTTCTGCCCTCTTTTTTAAACTTCTTTTCCCATTACAAGAACAAAATTTAGTAAAATAACAATTAACATTATAAGAAATTAACATCACCGACCCTTTTCAGAAAATACGACAAACTGAATTTTTGAGGATGGAAATGTTGATTTTTTTTTTTTTTTTGATCAGTTATGCAACTTCGATGGTTTGTACATACAGTCATAAATTAGATGGGTACCTGAAACATTTCCAAGTAACACTGTATTGGAATTCACTGCTTCAAACTGAGGAATCTGATCAACTTTATCCAGTAGAGTCTTCTTTAAGATCTTAAACTCTTTCATCAGAAGTCTAAACAAACAAATATCGATGATTCTCGAGATGTTGAATACAAGATTCGAAGTTTACAAGATGAAGACTGTATTAAAAAAGGACACGCCCAATGACACGGATTCCGGGGAATTCTTGTATTTTGGATTTCATGAATGCTTTCTCGAGTATTCTGGATTCCATCAAACTGCAGGATTTCAATGCAAAACATCCTAGACTTTGTCGGAATTAGAATCCTTGTCAAGGGGCGAATGTACTCACAGAAATCTCCTATAAGAATAGAGAGAGAACTGGGAACTAGCACAGTAACATAAGCAAATACCTGAAGAATGCTTCATAAGTGACCTGATCAGGAGATTGGAGTTTGTCTAATACGTCGAGAATCGCTAAGGTCAGGAGTCCGCCTTTCTCCCTCAATTCTAGTGCTTTCTGGACCGAAGAACATGCCGCAAAGTAGAAGAAATAATCCTTTTTTTTAGGCAACCATCCCCCTCGATTAGCCTTGGTGTAGCGCTTATGTTCGGATGTTGTTGGTTCTAGAACAAACTGGTGACAAATATAATGCAGTAATTATTCCAAGAGTTTTACTTATTGCTCTTACTGTAAAACTCTTGGCTGGTTATCAAGTAAAAATAAACTGAATTTAATTCAATAATTGAATAAAGTAATTGAATAAGCCAATTAGATTCAGAATATTGAAATGGGATGAACTTACAAAACAATATCTCAGCAAAAAGCAGTATTCTTTTAAACTTTGCTCTAAATTGAATTATCGAGAAACAAGCAATTGCTGCAAATGAGTTAACGTCTTTTCTATTTAATAGCATTTTATCATGCTATAATAAATTGTACTACATCTATTTATTTCGTTTATTTGACTTTTGGCGTTGAGAACTAAGCCTGGTTTTCACTAGCAACGCAAGGACAAGCGAAGACGCAAGCGCAAAAACGTTACAATAGTCCTGCATTTCGTTTTCACTATCAAAATCAAGCTCAAGCACAAGGGCGATGACTGAGATCACTGAYAAATTGCAATACCAAGGGGTACTACTGCTAGCTGTACTTTGAAATTTATAATGAATAATATCAAGCTCGAGTAGTTGTACCTGGAAAAGATTCTAAGTACATTTCACCACACTTACACTGCTATTTTTTGAGAGTTAAAAAAAGTTAAAAAAGGTACAGGATGACTCCTTTTTAGGAGTAAATATAACTCCACATATTAGTCACCGTTTCGCAGCCCTATTTGCCCACTAGGAAAGATAGAGACAGCTAACTAACTACTGTAACTACGTAGCAGAAAGTCGACCACACTATGAGATTACCTGTTTTATTTTCAATCCTTCTAATTCTTTAAATTCTCGATATAGGTGACCAGAGTGACAGCAGTCGAATATCACTGTACAATAAACACTTTTTTTGCTTAATGCTTCAAAGAAAGGTAGCAGGTCTTGTCCAGTGATACACACTTCCTCTGCTGGTTTCTGTTAAACGTAAAATCATATTATCATCAGCCATACAAAACATACGAGATTGTGATGTTTTCAGGGGGGAGGGGAGGGTGCGGTATTTCGTGAATGTGGCTCTTTTTCGCATGTGAGAAAACCAAACGCGTCATTCACGAGCGCAGGACTGGCCAATCAGAATAAAGGTCATGTGCTGGAAGTCATGTTGTCGCACCAAAAATGTATAAATAAAGTCGGATCGGAGGGCGAAGCTGAAATGGTTTTGCGGTGTTGCTGTGGTTCTTGTAAATAATAATAATAATAATAATAATGAAAACTTGTATAGCGCATATACAAGTCTGTTCTATGCGCTCTGATATAACTAACAAACAAATTAAACTCTAAAAGCTAAACTAAACAAATAAGTTTTGAGTTCTTTCTTAAAGGACAGCAAAGAGTCAATGTTTCTTAAATCAGATGGGAGAGAGTTCCATAATGTAGGGGCAGCAACAGAGAAAGAGCGAGAGCCATATGTTTTCATGGAGTAAGGTTTAACAGATGAGTGCTACCCAGCCAGGCTAAATGAAGGACGATTCATTCTGTTCCCCAAGTCAAAAACTAATCTAGAAAAATACTTGAAATGGATCAAGATGTGCAGAAAAAAGCACGAACTGCTAAATGTAAAACGCATAAAAAATAATTTAATCCTTTCTCTAGGACTTTCTCAGATAAACTTGAGTGTTTTTGGCAGAAGAAACAGAAATTAATATTATGTTGAATTTTCGACAAATCGTCGGAAGACTTTGTCATTCACGAAAACCATAGTTAATAGAGGGGACTAGTCCCCTCATTAACTATGCGAAAAGTCAAAAGCATTTGTGGGACAAGACGGACAAGCCGCGCTTTCCGCGCTTTCTTCTGACTAGCTAATCGCACGCACGAGCTTGATTTGTCAGAAAATGAGTTGAAATTTACGCCAATCGTTTTTGGTTTTGACTTTTACTTTCATAAGAATTGATGTTAACATTATCGGTAGAAATCTTACGTCTATTGGCCATTTGAGAAGAGTAGGAACCAGCCCTTCATCCTGTGAATCTGGAAGGTATACACCATGACCAGAATAATACAGAAAGACGACACTACGGGGCTCGCATGACTTGGCGAGCTTTTCGATTTCTACTAGAATGTTATCTTTGTTCGCTTGATCTTCCTGTAATACCTTTGAAAATAAACAATTGTTGTTATAATATTATGCTAGACATTTTGAGCAGCATACTTAGTATGCTATTCCTCAAGTTGTAATTTAGTAAGATTTTTTTCCAGTGTTATACATGTATTTTTGTTGTGTAATTTTGTATTTAAAAAAATACGAAAACAAACAATGACGCTTTCTAAACTATTACTTAAAATGACTTTAAATCGAACAGAAACCGAAATCAATCAACACTTCAAGTCAATAAAATATTTTTGTTCAATAACATCATTTCATGGGCTACCTGTGCTGTCATTACCTTGATATGTTCATCTTGAAAATCGAATTTTGTAGTCAAAGCATTTTTCATGGCCTGGACGTCAATCTCGTTTGCTGTTAGCCTGTTCTCCTTATCCAAAGCACTGTACGATGGTGCAATCATCAATGCGTTTTTTTGAAGCATCATCTAGAAAGAATATGAGATATGCATCATATGTATATTTATAGGAAAACAGAGCTGCATATCAAAATTCTTTTTGGTTTAAAATTATTAAAGTACATTTATCAAAGCATCAATTAGTATGAAATAAAAAAATTCAAAGCTTGAATATAAATCTTTTATAAAGCTTTTTATAAAATTGCTATATAAAAGAAATAATTTGCTTTACCTCAACATTTAACAAAGTAACTTTGCCAATCCCCCTGAGAATTTTAGATATGATGGAATTTTCTTCGCTTTACGATTAAAAAAACCATATGTCATTGTGAGTGGCTCTATTTTTTGCATGACAATTTTTCATAAAAAAAAATTGTCCGCGGAATTTTTGAGTTATTTGAAATGCAAATCATGCGCATAAAAAATGCAATGACGTCATCAAACTAAAAAAATCTTCAAATTCAGCATCTGCGCATGCGTGTGGCCTGTATTTATTTCAAATGGATGATGGACAAGAACCTTCGAAGTAAAACTAGTCATTTCAGACTAAATTTAACACTTACAATCGATTGTTCCTTTTTCCTCTTGTTTTGAAAAAATACTATATGGAGCTACCTAATAAGCCTGCTTTTCACTAGTGAAGTAAACGAAGGCGGAGAAGAAACCAGTTAACGTGAGAGGGAAGTGGACAAGAAATAGTCAAAAGCAGCCCATCTATTGCTTGAAAGACTATATTTTTTGTAGTTTTTATCGTATATAGGAACAAAGGGTTAGAAAATATCGAACGCGCACTTCTATTATGGATAAAGCCTGCGCTCTTACTAAAATGCGGAATTCCCTTAGATAATTCTTAACAAATTGCGCACTGTGTTTGGAGTTGTATGTCTTCTTATTGACAAACTCTTGAAGTCATACAATGTTCAAAACTCAAGTGGACAAACGAACGCAGAAACACAGCATCGAATTTTATGTCTAAAAATTCACGAAAATCGTTCTTTTCTTTCAACGGAGAGCGTGCGAGACATGATGACATCAGCACCTATGCTTTTGCTTGCACACCGCAATCAGCCAATCAGCGTATGGGAATTTACACAAGCATGGTAAAGATCATAATCGCGCGATTATGTCATACTAACGCAGGAAAGTTTTATTAGAACATGTATTTAAAAAAGCGTACACTAGTGCTACTCTTCTCTATGCATGAAAAAACTACTAAAACATATAAAGAGATATTATGATACAAATTTCTAAATGAATAGTTGGGCTGCCTGTTGAATGGGAAATGAAAACCCTAGTACTTCTTCCTTCGCCGCTTCCTTCTCCGTCTCCGCTTATTTCAGTAGTAAAAATAATGCTTTAGAGTTCATCAAGTAATTCATGAATTATTTTAATAATTCTAAATACTTATAAATCAACGTAGTATATATAGTTTTAGAATCAAAGTATTGTTCATAGATGAAACCACCACTACAAAAACCAAAGAAGCATATGACATTCTACCTTAATGCCCCAAACATTAACTGTTTACAGGGCTTAATGGAAGATTTAATTGAATCACAGTTTTTATGGCAAAAAAATCAATGCTCACACAAAATGCAACTGCATTCTTTCGATTTCCCCATCGCAGCAGACCGCTGACATTTGGCAATGAAGTCTCCGGGCTCCATATTAAGATTGGCTGAATAGAACATCACTTAACTACTGAAAACCCCGTATTCAGAGCGAAAATGAATCTATATTAAAAGTAATGTAAAATGGAGTTTCAAGAAAGCTAAGTACCTTGAGAAACCTTTATTTACATATCGAGAAAGTTTCCCTTTGAAAGCGAAACTAGCGATTGTTTTGAAGTCAGTCTCTATGCATCGGTAGACAAGTTGTGACCCCTTGTTTGAAAGAAATGCATAAATTATATACAAACGCTTGGCTTGTTAGAATAACAACTTATAGAATTGTCCTCACAGTACTTGAAATGATTTCAAACACATTAGATTTGACAATATTTTTTGGAATAACAAAGATTTTTCCGATTCTTTCGACACCACGGAAATGTTTTTCATAGTACGGTTATAATAACAAGCGTAAAATACCTTCATAGCGACAAAATCAATGTTGAAGACTTTCTGAACACATTGCACGCTTACTAAAGGTTGAAGTATATTATGTACCTGAGACCACTTCACACTACTACACTATAGGTATACACTGTTTCCTGATTCCATGAAATGAATTGTTTAGATCTTGTCTGATGGCGAATTCATGACAACTGCTACATGTACATCTACTATATATATACTCCTATAATGTGACTGGAAACCGTTTGTGATCCCGACATCGGTGATGCTTTAGCTTGTAAAACATCACTAATGATGATCCCCTGATCGCCAAAGCGTTTCTGATCTCTGATGCCACTTTTTAGTATACTGTTAGAATCAAAACGTTTCGTAAAAATGAAAGTGAAAGCAAACCTTTCGTCGTTTCATTGGCCAGCGTTCTTCTGCTTTCGTTTGATATATAATCTGCTGCTTGAATGGTTTGAAGTCCTTGAGATATGATACAGTCCCTTAGCAATTGGCAAAAATTTTCAAATATAACGATATTTCAGGCGATCTTCATAAGCCGAAACGAATCACCAAATCATAAGTCCCCTTTGTCTGACGGATTCAAACAAAGCAAGTAAAGTTGCTTACGAAGTCACGCTGTTATTGTAACGTCTGGATTGGAAGAGATTGAGAAAACACAGCGAGTATATAACTCGTAGCTGAATAAAGAATGCCAAAAACCTATTTATTACACGTTCAAAAATGTAACAAATATTGGCGGATTTTATGTCATTTTTTGTTGTTACTCCCGTCCTTTAAGGACGGAATATCAACTATGTTATCGCCCGATGTCTGAGTGGAAACAAGTCTGTAACACTGGGATGTCACAATATTATGACGTCAATCACATTAATATTCAATTTTGAGATGAAGACAAAATGGCGGACAGACGGCGGCAAACAGTTGTCTCGATTTAAATGGCTCTTAAAATGTAGCCAAAACGCTCAAAAGAGCCGGAAATTATTCTCAAAACAACTGATTATTATCCAACGGACATGAAAGGAGGTATATAATTCAAGATTACTGGCTGATTTATGCAGAAATCGATGCATTTTCTACCACCAACTCGAGCACCCATCAACAAGTGTTCGCCTGCCAAACAATCACTGTCTTCAAAAATACTTCATCACATGGATATGTAAGATTCATACTTTTACAGAAAAATAATTATTCGGACAATGAGGAAATATGTGAAGAGACAAAGTTTTCAAAAATTATTACGTGGGCTTCCTGTGGAAGCACACGTCTAAAAATGCAACTGGCTTTTCGTCGTGGTGGTGAATATTACGCTTCAAATTGGTAGCGCATCGATAGCGCATGTGGTGTTTTGAGTAAAACCACTACGAGAAAGTGTTCGTTCGATGCCTCCTTTATTACTCACACTCTCTCGTAACAATATAACACGTGCCAATATGCTAATTAGTAGTGACGACACTACATCCATCTCCTCCTTGAAATCAAAATATAGTCCAAATATCTAACTACATGGTTACATAGATTTGTTATTCAAAAATTGAACATGTATAATAYAAARTGTCTTGACAGTTTTCTAATGTGTCCCTAAACCATGTTAGGYTACGTAATCAGCTAACCAAGCAGGTGCTTTGTGCTGTCTTGCTGACCTTCTAAGTGGAATGCCTTCTGGTTCTGTCGCTGTGTTGTCTTCTTGTTGAATTTCTGTTTCTTCATTGAAATCCTTTGCTGTAGCTGGCTGGTGCGAGTCGCTCAGCTTGTTATTAAGCCTCTTGAAGTGTGACGAATTTCTTGTGATGGTTTTCCGTCCGTTACTAGCTGTAACCATAGAGCCTTTAGTCTCTGTCACGACTAATGGTTCTGGGTTGTAAGGTGTGCTGAGCTTTGATGATTTAGGCTGCTTGACCAATACTGTTTCACCTGGACTAACGGAGGTCTCTCTAGCGTTTGATCTGTTATCTGCATACTTCTTTATCTTTTCCTTCTGTGTGCTGTCTCTCTCCGCCAAACGTTGCAGCTTCTCACTTTGACTTTGGCCTTGGTTGATGCTGGTTACTTCGGGCAGAGTTGTCTTAAGCTTCCTCCCATTAAGTGCTTCGCAAGGTGACAAATTTGTAGTCGAGTGCGGTGTCGCACGATATTGTCGTAGAAATTGAAACAGTTCCTGCTTCCAGTTCTTGTGCTCAGCATGAGCGGTCCTTATACACTTATTAAGGCTCCTCATGAATCGCTCTGCTTCGCCGTTTGCCTGGGGCCATAATGGCGTTACTTTTCTGTGGTGGAAACCGAGATGCTTGGCGTAGTTCTTGAATTCTTCTCCGTTGAAGGGGGGGCCGTTGTCACTCTTTAATACCTCTGGGATGCCTTGTCTGGAAAATATAGCGTCCAGTTTGGGTATTGCTGCTTTAGCAGACGTGGTTGTGACGAATTCAACTTCCGGAAATCGGCTGTACTCGTCGATTACCACTAGCAGATAGTCTCCTGAGGGGAATGGACCCATAAAGTCAATTGCAACTTCTTTCCAGGGACCACTTGGCAGTTGCGTCATCTTGAGTGGTTGTGGACGAGATTGATTTCCTTGAGTTGTAGCTGATTGGCATGGTAGGCAGTTGTTGACTTTCTCTTGCACCATGTGGTCTATGCCAGGAAACCAAACCTTTTCTCTGATGAGGCGTTTCGTCTTGACTATTCCTTGATGCCCTACATGAGCAAGTTCTACGGCTTTATTTTGTAGAGACTTTGGGATGACTATGCGGTTTCTTCTTAACACCATACCATTGTATACTGTAAGTTCGTCTTTTAC